GTTATGAGGCGAAAAACTTGAAAGAGATATCACAGTATATCTCCCTCTTAGTTTACAGCTTCCTATTCAAAAGTCGCCGCTGTGCGATCAGAAGGACATCATTACCCGCCCTGAGCCAACAAGCTTATAGTAGTAATAATGGAGAGAAATAGAAATGAAATCTTCGTATTTTGACAGCGAACACATAAAAGTTCTTAGGCAGTCTAAAGATTTCAAAAAGGTAACAACAATACTTCAACTGTACAACAGCTTGGTCCGTAGCAAACTTGAATATTGTTGTCAAGTATGGTCTCCCGCTTACAAAAACCACATTGAAAGAATCGAACGTGTTCAAAAAAGACTCATTAAACACCTAATATTCCGTTTTAAGGCGTCAAGTCATAGTGAGTGCTACAATAATAAACTTGCTTACTTTAGGCTGAAACCACTGGCAGTTCGTAGATCTCTTCTTGATTTGAAATTTCTTTATAAACTTTTCAATGGTAAAATTAATGACAGTGAGCTGTTGAGCAGATTTAATATTAACGTACCTCGGAGACCTCCTCGCAACCCATGTCCTTTCTTTAGGACTGACAGCACTCGAACAAAACTTGGACAGAATTCTCCAATAACACGTATATCACGCGTATACAATGTTTGTGTAAAAAATATAGCAACACTGGACATTGGTTGTGACGGGCTCACACTTTTTATGAAAAAATGTAACGACTGTTTAGAAAATTAATTATTCACTAACTTTATGCCAAACTTAACTTTTATTTATGTTATAAAAAGTATTAACTTTCTTTTGTTCGTAAAACTTGTTTTTGTTCCAAATACCATTAAAATAGGCAAATTATAAACACTGCTATTGTTTTAGAATGATGTGTTCTCCTATAATTGGTAGTACATAGTTATTTATAGATGTAAAGCATGTGTTAGAAGTAATTTAATATGTACAACTGTTGGAGATCCATATAAATAAATAAATAAATAAATAAAAAACAACACATTGTAAAAAGAAACGTATTTCGTAACAAAATTACTTTAAATTAAGCAGCATAGGGTTCATTGAAAACTGAAAAAAGCTAGGCTAATGCGCCCTGCATTTTTAACTAAACAAATGTTTCGATTAATGAGAAACAATACAGTAGCTTCCAAACTCTCTACTGAGACTTAGTACTCGCATGTGCTGAAATGTAGATGCGAGGTTTCGTCTTTTACAGTTAAATTACAGTGGTTTCTACAATATTTTAAACATTCAATAAAGGAAAGTTACAGTTTATACATCTTCCACTGCTGAACGCAGGTTATATCTCATTTCTGAAAGGTTTTTGAAGCAATTAGTCCATCGCGATGCTCCAATGCGTGTTGACGGACTTCACATGTCCATACTAATTTGTTGTACATTTTTATTACAAAAACGTATGCTACTCGTAACATAGTTTTAATGGTCATGATGGTGGATTTTCCTGAGCTAAGATTGGTAATTGTGGCAATTTATACCTAAAGTGGGTAAGGTCTACGTTCAGCCATAAATTGAATTGTTACGAGCTGATAAAGCGTGCGCAGGAGTTCCCTGATATGATTTAATTGCTCCTTAAACCAGAGCTAAGTCAATGCACTTTACCATCTTCGTCGACATCACCACTTTGTGGGATAGTACTCAAGCACATACTTACGCTGATATTCTATGAGAGCGTTGCAGCCGATTGCTAGAGCTGACGCATTCATGCTTCAACTGCAAGCTGCAGCGTGGCTCTAGCACATTAAACTCTTTTTAAGGTATTCTCTCAACAACAAAATTATGTAACTAATACTCATAAAGTGATGCAGTTTAAAAATATCTGGATCCGGTTTTGATGATGGTTTTACACCGTAAAAAGTACGGAGTGATCACGGTTTAAAAACTGGAAAGTGTAGAACTACTTACATGTAACGAGTCAGCTAGTATTGTATATATATATGTATATATATATATATAATGTCGGGAACACATAAAAATAAGTAATTTAAATGCGCTACCTTCTTCATTTTAAAGGAATATTCTTATTTGAGATCTTCAATAGAGGACAAGGCGTTAATTCTACGTTTCCCCTGCTGGTTGAGGTCTGAGTTTTAAAATCACTTTAAGGTGACACGCGATGTTGGGGATAAAAAGCATTTTATTAATAACATTGTCATATCTGCATTTTTATCAGACTTACAACGAATATTCAGCTATTATTCGGTATTCGGCCTATTCGGAAACATTTATCCTATTAGGTTGAATACCGAATGCTTACGTTAAAGGTTTTATTTTGATCAGATAATTTGTAAAATTAAAATATTTATTTATTTAATAATAATAGTTTTTACGGATTTTATCGCGTCTATTTAAATACCCGACGTTTCGAGCACTTGGTCACAGGGGAGACTGAGATGTTCAACGGAGACTGAAATGTCGTAATTAACCGCAGTTACCATAGATTAATATTATGTATTAATTTTTTTTGTTCCATTCTATGCAGTATGAACTTATAGTATCTTGAAGTCTTGCAGTTGTATGCTTGGGTTGGGTTTTAATTTTATAATTATAGGGTCCCAAGCAGATGGTAGCACCTAGCCATTTTCTCTATTAAAATTGGGATGTTTTTTTTTTATTTCAATAGCCTCGCTAATCATCCTTGGAAGGAATCGGTGTTCTTTAGCGAGGATTTGTGGTCTATCAAATGTGATGTCACTACATCCTCCATCCAGGGGGCGATCCTGTACGTGTTCACAGACTGCAGACTTCCCGGAGCGTCGGAGCGTAAAATCAGTAAAACCTAATATTATTTAAATGTGTAGTGTTGCGTTAATATAAGAAATCATTATATTTTTTTATTTTATAATTTTTTTTCTTGTAATCATTAAATGAGTCATAGGTACATAATCAACTTTCACATTATAAAAATTAAAAAATAACTATCAGATAAATGCCTATGCAATCGAATTATCGTAATCAAAGTGAAAGATAATGGCGCAGAAAAGCTAACTTTTCTTTAAATTCAGGTAGTAGTCTACTCCTTTTCTTCTCGTCGGCAATCCCAGCTACAGAGATTAGACTCTCTGATGAATAAACACTACCTACTTCCTTCCTGGCCGAATACTTTTGCCTAATATTCGGCTATTCAGCCAAGAAGTTAGTAGAATATTCGGTATTCGGAGTGTGGCAGAATATAGTGTTCGTTGCAAGTTAATTTTTATCCTACCAAATCCATAAAATAGGTGCTGGCAACCCTATTTATGACCGACTTTGTTTTCTCAAAATGACTTTCTTGCCCTATGGTATTGGATGAAATACAAATTAAAATTAAACTACATCTTAGTTTAAAATAATTTTATTTAATGTTTAACAATAAATTATTCTATACGTTAAATTCTTACCTTATACGTAAAATTATGAAATTATATTAAAGTAAAAATACGAAATAATTTAGAAAAGACCACTCTGACTAGATTGCCACACCCCTTGTCTGTTCAATGTTGTTCCCCGTATAAAGTGCCATCAAGTATTTGTTATATATTTGTGATATATAATAATCTAATTTAGTTAATCTCAGCTGTAATTAAATTCGAGCAATCAAATTGCATATTCAGTGTCTTGTTATCAGTATTATGTTTACAAAAAAGTTAAAGCGATTACATGCAAGACAATAATGCTTTTATGTGAATATAACCATTGATAACTGAGAAAAAAAAAACAAAGAATTGTGCCACTTTATAACGAAAAATAACTGCAATATTTGTTAATAATAACACAAAACCGGGATACGCGGGTTGGTTATTCGAGAAAATAATCTAAAAGGCTATATCAGTTATTAGTGTTTCATTAGTTAATTAGGTATGTGGATGGAGAACGGTAACGTGTACAATAATTTTATGTGTAACATTATTTAATAAACAAAGCCATAACGATAATATTATTTGTAGAATTAATTAAGTGTGTTAAATAAATATATAATTATATAATAAAATTATAAATATTTTTATAAATATATTTTAAATTATAAAAATATTAAACATTGTTATTTTATAAGGATGTATTTTGTTAGTAAATTTAGCTGGTAACACAATAAAATACTTTAAGATAAGTCATTGACATTTTAAATACATTCAAACTGAAAATAATAAAATATTTATTGTTGATAACATTTAAAATACCCATTATAAGTTTATACATTAATTTAATCATGAATCTTAACAAAGCTACTCATAGATCTAAAGCAAGAAAATCTTTTGACGATATTATGCTCAAACTACGTTAAAGAAATTAAACATATCCTAATTTATTTAAGTAACTGGTTAATTTCATCCTACGTAACAATGGCAAATTAAGAATATAAAAAAATTAGAAATTCTCAGTTGCTACTCTCTACTCTTATGAAAACGATATTATTTAATTAAATATAAAATAATATGCTAGAAAAAATAATTTATTAGTCTATTCTTTGGTATATTAGCTGTAATAATAAAATTATGAGCATTAGTAATATCTAACATCACAAAATAAAGCATGTATTTTCGCCATTGATTCTATTCATGCTACATTATTATTAAATACTAAAATAAGATTTTAAGATTCCCCTCAACTATAATACTTTAATACTTAATTACAAAAAAGCATTCAAAAAATATATTTAATTACAAATATTTCGCTACATCACCCGCGCCAGTTTTAAAAGCGTTTCAAAATATTTTAATCGCTTTGTTTATTAAATACCCATACAAATGAATACATTATAAAGACAATTTGTTTATTTAGTATAATTTAAAGTTAAACGATAAATTTAAAAATAAGTAACTTAAATTAATATCCGTACTTAATATCTTATTGAAATAAAATAAAAGTAAATACTATACAACAGAAAAAGTTACATATTACTGCAACTTTCAAAAATCGAACTTGATTTAAATATTAAAAAATAAATAGCTTTAGATATTAATTTAGTCTACATATTTATGAATAATATGTTTTTGCTTAAGTTTTTGTCTGAAAACTAAAAGTCTGTATAACCTTGTGTATTTATCTTCCTCTGCATTTTATCCCAATCTTGCGTCTCCGTTATAACCTGCAATAATTTAAATGTAGATGATTGTCTCGGCGGACCCTCTTGGCTGATTTTGTGATAGTGTATTCTGAAATTGATAAAAAAAAATTTTGTTTAGTAATATAATAATAAATATATTTCATGCAAGCAAAATGTTTAAATAGACATGTTCTTTATCAAACAAACAACACATGTCCATTAAATAAATTCTGTATATCAATAAAATTTCAGCAAGACAGCATATATCGAGGTTCTTATGCCATCATCCTATCCTTCTTTTTCATTATCTTCTTTTCGATTTCTTAAAGTAATAGATAGTAGTATATATACAATTACATTTTAATCGTGACTTCCGATAGATCTATATGTCTATCGGAACTTTCTGGCTTTCTTACGTTTTTTTATAAAACTTAATTGAAAAACGTACCAACAGTGCACCTGATCGTATGACTATACTGTAGCCTAGAGACACTACAATCAGCTCTATTTATTTGTACAGAGAAGCCTATATGGATATGTTATCACCACTGAAGACTAAGATGAAATCCCTCTCAGCCTATAATTAATAATAGTAATAATAATAATTCATTTATTGCATTACTGTGTACAAGTTGAAGATGACATATTATTAAAGGTATCAACAGTTGCCTCATCAGGCGTGCAATAGATTTACAATTTTCATAAACATAATATATGTACTATTTACATTTAACAGATTACATTTTTGCAATTTACATTTAACAGATTTACAATTAACTTCTAAGATAAAATATTAAAAAATGCTTATAGATATAAGTATAATAAAGAACACGATATTAACTCTTAAAATTATAGAATTCATTTAGCGTATAAAACGTATGTTCCACCAACCAGATTTTTAAATTATGATTGAATTTGGGTTCTTTTATGGTTTTAATACTATTGGGTAAGTGATTAAATACTTTAATTGCTGTTATGTATGCACTTTTGTCAAACAATTTATTTTTAATTTGAGGTAGATATAAATTGTTTACGTAGCAAGGGCGTAAATTTTGATGTTTCGAAAGTTTCGTTTCGAATAAATCGCAATTATTTCTAATAAATAGGCACAAATCTAAGATATATTCCAGTTAAAGTTAAAAAACGTTTATACAAACGCTCAACATTTACCCTTCAAATTGGAACATTTACTTACTGTTGCGCGCCTAAGTTGACGTCATGTAGTGTCAGGGACGAGAGCGGGGGGAGCTTTCCAGAAAATGACATCACTAATCTTTCAACCGACAGCGCCATCTGGTGTCGAAACGAAGAACTAAGCTTCTAGAAGCTGACACTCGAACTTTGATTGGTGCGCGAATGTTCTGGATGTTTCGGTGCTAATGTGTATTTATAGGCGCTGCAAGGTGCGATCGGGTAAGTATTGAATTTGGCGAGACAAGCGAAGCTTCGGAGCGGAATAAAGTGAATTAGTGTGATTAATTATTATTAGTCTTTTAAGTTTTAATTAGTGTAAAGTGAATTAAAGTTTTAATTTCGGTAATTCAATCGGCAGTTTTTATTGTCACGAACCTCAAGCTCGTAACAATTGGTGCCAGAAGTGGGATAAAATCATGCCGATTTTACCTAAGGAGGAAACGGATGGTGTCCGTACCCGCAGTCAACGCCAGCAGGAGACGGACCAAAGAAGATTTGGTGGTGCAACGCCGCAGACGTCGGAGGGCCAGCCGCCGGCTGCAGGCCCGTTAGTAGCTCCTACATCTGCACCTGACTTAGGTGCTCTGATGGTGATGCTGCAGGAGGTCCCAGGCTCGCCGACAGGTGGAACAGGTCCTTCAGTGGAAAGAGCAGCAGGAGGAAAAGGTCCGTCGGTTGGAAGAGCAGCTGCGGGGCGGACAGGATGAACAGGCACGTCGGTTGGAAGAACAGATGCTCCTTATGAAGGACCTTCACGCTACCTTCGGGAAGGAGACGAAGGAGGTGAAGGATAGGGTTGCTCAACATGACAACCGCCTGTCAGAAGCTGAAACCCGAATTGAGAAATCTGAAACCCGAATCGACCAAGTGAACAATCGAGTTGACAGCGTTATGGCTGACGTGAAAAAAATGCTGGACGACCTCAAACTTGGGGATGGAACAACAGCTCCCGTAGTAGCTATAACACCTTCGCTACGTGAATTCAAAGTGCCGCCGTTCGACGGGACTTCTTCCTGGTCGGCCTACAAAATCCAGTTCGAGGCCGTCATGGAGGCGAACGGCTGGAATAAAAGCCAAGCCATGACTGCACTCACCCTAGGCCTGCGCGACCAAGCCTTAACTGTGTTGGAAGCTCTCGGTAAGAAAGTGACCTACGAGCAGCTCTTGAGGCGTTGGAGGCGAGATATGCCGACGCTCACCTGGAACACGTCTTTCGCGCGCAGCTTAAAGATCGCGTGCAAAGCAGCAACGAAAACCTGCAGCAGTGGGCCCTTGAGGTGGAGAAGATGGTTCGAAAAGCATACCAGTCTGTACCTGAGCTCATTGAAGGCAACCTGGTTCAGACATTCATCGACGGCATCCGCGACCTTGAAATCAGAGCTGCTGTGAGGCTCGGGCACTACGAGACGCTTAAGGACGCCTTGACCCATGCACTGGAGGTGGAAGCCGTGCGGTACGTGCATCTTCGCTCCCATCGCGTGAGAGAGGTTGCAGCAGCTACGGTTCGCGACCGCAATAAAGGATACAGCCCTAGGTGCTATGGCTTTGGGGAAAGGGGCCATCTTCGATCCAGCTGCCCTAAGCGAACTGTAGAAAGGGAAGGTGAACGATATCAGGAGGTTGGGGCAGCTAACAGCCCCGCCCAGCAGCAGCAGAGAAATAAGTAAAAGTCAGAACTGCGGGGCGGGTGCTGGCTGATGTTAAAAGAGCCCCAAGGATCTCCATCTCACAAACCCATGATGGGTACAGTCTGATCATCAAGGGCGAGGTCAACGGAATGCCGTGTAAACTAACCATAGATACTGGAGCCCCTCGGAAGAATTGTTGTGCGATTGACGTTAAGCAAGGTGTTTTGAAGTGTGAACAAGAGGAACTTTTTGTGGAAGGGGCGTTACCAGGGAACGTGTACAGCCTTAAGAAGATTGTTCTTCCGCCGAGATCGGAAACGATTGTTCCGGTTAGTCTTCCTCGGAATCCTGGACAACCTCATCGTTGTGTACTCTTGGAAAGGTTAGACAATGACCTTCCATGGAAAGTGGCTCGAACCTTGGTCAGGATCACTCACATCTCAGGAGTACGTGTGCTGAACCTTTGTGACCACGAACAGATTATAGAAAAAGGCACACTGGTTGGTACTTGTGAGGAAGTGGATTTGCTACGTCGGTGCCAATATCTATCGTCTGGGATAGCAAGGATGCACAAACGAGAGTGAGCACACTTTTAGAAGACTGTCGCAGCGTTATCTCCCCGAACGAAATGGTCAAGGCAAAGAAGTTGTTACTCAAGCACGCCGATGTATTCTCATCAAACGATGCTGACATAGGAAAGACTGGCTTAGTTCAACAAAAAATAAAAACATGAGAAGAATTACCTATCCATCAGCGGCCAAGAAGATTGCCGGTAGCACGTCAAAAGGAAGTAGAAACCATGATAGAAGGAATGATGAAGGATGGTGTTATTGAACCATCCTCTAGTCCATGGTGTTCACCCGTGGTGCTGGTAAAGAAGAAGGATGGCAGCATGCGGTTTTGTGTTGACTACCGCCGTCTGAACGACGTTACGAAGGACAGCTATCCCTTGCCAAGAATTGATAACACGCTGGACATGCTTACAGGAGTAAAGTGGTTTAGCACGCTGGAACTAAAAAGTGGCTACTGGCATGTTGAAATTGACCCTAAGGACAAGGAGAAAACTGTGTTCTCGACGGGAAATGGTCTGTGGCAATTTAAAGTAATGCCGTTTGGGTTGTGCAATGCTCCAGCAACGTTTGAGAGGCTGATGGAACTTGTACTTACCGGGCTAATTGGCGATGCCTGTCTGGTCTACTTGGATGACATCATCATCGTGGGCCGTACGTTTGAGGAACACCTTCAAAACCTGGAACGCGTGCTCATGAAGATTCAGAGTGCCAACCGCAAGTTGAGTCCGAAGAAATGTTAACTATTCAAACGGCAAGTCAACTTTTTGGGGTATGTAGTGTCGGAAGAAGGTATCCGCACGGATCCAGAGAAAATCGCAGCTGTCAAGGATTGGCCGGTTCCAAAAGACAAGACGCAGGTTAGAGCATTTTTGGGTTTGTGCTCCTATTACCGGTGATTTGTGAAGAACTTTGCAGATATAGCTAAACCTCTGCATAAACATTTCTGCTGGGATGAAAGTTCAGGAGCTCAAGGACCGTCTGTGCAAAACACCTATTTTGGAATCATCATCATCATCATCATCATTACAGCCCTTCACAAGTCCACTGCTGAACATAGGCCTCCCCCAAGTAATGCCACAAAGCACGTTCCTGAGCCACCTGCATCCATCGACTTCCTGCATAGCTTACCAGGTCGTCACTCCATCTAGTGGGGGGTCGCCCTACACTACGCCTACCGGTACGAGGCTGCCACTTGAGAACCTTTCTTCCCTATCGGTTATCGGTTCTTCGAGCTATATGGCCGGCCCATTGCCACTTCAGCTTACTAAACCGTTGGGCTAACCGGCCAGCAGTGAAGGACCACGTCTCAGATCTGTAAGTCATCACTGGCAACACGCACTGGTTGTACAATCTAGTTTTTAGAGATTGAGGTATACCTGACGAGAAGATATGTCGTAATTTCCCGAACGCTGCCCAGCCGAGTTGAATCCGTCGATTGACCTCTCGGTCGAAGTTAAACGTACGTGTCTCAGTCTCGTTGTCACGAAACGTGTCCCAGGTAAACGTACTCGTCAACAACTTCGAGCATACTGCTCCCAACAACTACCGGCATAGGTGTGACATGGACATTAAACATGATCTTTGTTTTGTCCATGTTCATCTTAAGACCTATCCGTTGGGAGGCATATTAAGGTCATTGAGCATAGTGCTTAAGTCCTCCAGCGATTCTGCCATAAGGACTATATCGTCGGCAAATCGAAGGTGAGTGATGTACTCACCATTGATGTTAATACCGTATCCTTTCCAGTCCAGTAGCTTGAAAAAATCTTCCAATGCAGCGGTGAAGAGTTTCGGGGATATAACGTCACCGTGTCTTACACCTCTCTGCAGTTGGATAGGTTTCGAGCTCTGGTTCTGTACTCGGATAGCCATCGTAGCCCCACTGTACAAACACTTCAGCACTTTGATATACCGACAGTCAACTTGGCACCGCTGAAGGGACTGTAGCACCGCCCAAATTTCGACGGAATCAAAGGCTTTCTCGTAGTCCACATACGCCAGGCAAAGTGGCAGATTGTACTCTTCATTCTTCTGTACAATCTGCCGCGGGGTATGTGTGTGGTCTATGGTACTGAAGCCTTTTCGGAAACTGGCTATTAACCGTTATTAATTAACCGGCTATTAATTATTAAAAAATTAACCGGGATACCCTGATGCAAGCAAAGAATTTATAGTGTACACAGACGCAAGTGATATAGGACTTGGCGGTGTGTTGTCTCAACAGAATGGTGAACAAAAGGTTGTGATAGCGTACTTCAGCAAGTCGTTGTCAAAACCGGAATGGAACTATTTTGTCACAAGACGCGAATTGCTAGCTGTGGTAAAGTCGTTGCAGCATTTTAGCAAATATCTTCTGGGGCGAAAATTTCACTTACGAACTGACCATGCTGCACTAAAATGGCTATTGCAGTTTAAACATCCAGAAGGACAAGTCGCGAGGTGGAATGAACTACTGCAGGAATACGACTTTAAGATCGAACATCGCAGCGGGAAAACTCATGGCAACGCAGATGCATTATCAAGAAGACCTTGTCCTGAAGATTGCAAACATTGTACTAGGCAAGAGTGTAAGGAAGTGGTATCTGTGAGGATGCTCAGAGCAGACCACCTCAGCAACGAGTGGAAGGATAGCTTACAACGTGCACAGCAGGAAGATCCAGATATCAAGCCGATTCTGGAATGGATGAAGGCCAGTGCTCCCAAGCCCAAGTGGAGCGACGTCTCAGCGATGAATTCGACCACTAAAAGCTATTGGGCCTAGTGGGACAGCTTGCTGCTTCAGGATGGAGGTCAGTGCCGTAAATGGGAAAATATTAGGGGAGACAGCTGTCATTTGCAAATGGTTGTCCCTAAAGCTAAAGTACCGGATGTTCTACAGCTGTACCATAATAATTATTCAGGAGGCCATCTGGGAGTTAAACGAACTCTACTGAAGATCCGAGAACGGTTTTACTGGGTCCACTGTCGAAATGATGTCGAGGACTGGTGTCGCAAATGTACAAGTTGTGCGGCTGTAAAGGGACCTCAGACTCGTAGTAGAGATGCATTGAAGTTGTACAATATTGGTGCACCATGGGAGAGAATAGCCATTGACGTGGCAGGGCCGTTTCCGAAGAGTGAAAGCGGTAACAAGTATTTCATGGTTGTGATGGATTACTTCCCTAAGTGGCCAGAAGTCTTCGCCATTCCAAATCAAGAAACTTCAACAGTTGCAGATAAACTAGTTCATGAAGTCTTCTGTCGTTTTGGAGTACCTTTAGAGATTCACAGCGATCAAGGAAGGAATTTTGAGTCTCAAATATTCCAGGAAACTTGCCGAGTTATGGGTACTCATAAAACAAGAACGACTTCTTATCACCCGCAATCTGATGGAATGGTAGAACGATTTAATCAGACATTGGAGAGGTACCTAGCAAACAATCGGCAACGAGATTGGGACAAGCACATATAACCGTTTTTGTTGTCATATCGAAGCGCTTTTCACGAAAGTACAACTGTAACACCAGCTTTCGCAAACTTTGGAAGAGAATTACGGCTGCCTGCAGACCTGATCACCGGGATACCACCTGATGCCCCACGCAGTATAACCAATTATGCAAACGAATTGCGGAATAAAATGAATGACATTTATGAGCACGTCAGACAATCGGGCCAGCAAATGTCTGAAAAGATGAAAACCCGGTATGACCGCAAAATGAACAATAAAGGGTTCGACGAAGGTTCACTAGTGTGGTTGCACAATCCAGTCCGCAGCAAAGGGAAATCTCCTAAGTTTCAAGCTAAATGGGACGGCCCGTACCGGATTGTAACCAGGATCAACGATGTAACCTACCGGATACAGAAAGGCGCAAGAGGGACTCCTAAGATCGTCCATGTGGATCGCTTGGCGCGTTATTATGGGGCCGATAATGCTCGGGACGAGCATGTCTTAGGAGAGGGCAGTGTTGCGCGCCTAAGTTGACGTCATGTAGTGTCAGGGACGAGAGCGGGGGGAGCTTTCCAGAAAATGACATCACTAATCTTTTAACCGACAGTGCCATCTGGTGTCGACACGAAGAACTAAGCTTCTAGAAGCTGACACTCGAACTTTCGACGCCTTGTCGATTGGTGTGCGAATGTTCTGGATGTTTCGGTGCTAATGTGTATTTATAGGCGCTGCAAGGTGCGATCGGGGACGTATTGAATTTGGCGAGACAAGCGAAGCTTCGGAGTCTTTTAAATTTTAATTAGTGTAAAGTGAATTAAAGTGTTAATTTCGGTATTTCAATCGGCAGTTTTTATTGTCACGAACCTCAAGCTCGTAACATTACTAACGAAACGTTGACAAATCATCTTAGTTATACACACACACACACATAATAATATGTTTATTTCTTCGTTATGATTTTAAATCGTGCAAAATACAGTCTCGGTATAAATTATCGCTAACAGTATCGATTCCAGAACAAATCCATCAAAAATTATTAAACAAAATGCTAAAAAACACGAAATATTGAGCATACAAATCGTAAGGTATCAAAAATATCCAAACCGTATATCATTATTAGAATGTATTGTAGGTAATTAAAGGGTAAGATTTTCGTTTGATTGTGTTGAATGTTTGTCAGTATTATTAAACCAAAATCCACGAGAGTGAATCCGTGTGAGAAGGATTAATATTATATTAGAAGATTAATGGATGTTTATAAAAACATGTGTACGGCTGTCCATAAAAACATATGTAATTACAATTTTTATTAATTCACTATACATCATAGCATCAAACTCTATCCATAGGACATATTAGTATTAATAAAAGGCAGTGTAAAATGTCCTGCTATCCGGTATAAACCGGAAAATGGGATATACCTTAGTAGATATAGTAGTGCAATGTTGTGTTTTAGTAATGACAGTAAAATCTTTCTTGTTGAAGAAATTAGTATCCAATAACTAAACAAAAAAAATCTTTAAATCTATTAACGTGAAGGTTAAATAAAGGTCATAATGAAAATAAAATTAGTTCAGTAAACGAAATAACAGCGTTTGCAAAACGAAGTGTTTCCTAATATAAAACAAGCGTTACATTGAATCATTGCAGATATACAAGCAGTGCAAAAAAAGTGTTTACTTTGGATCAGTGCAAACAACTCCTTTAGTACCGCCCACCGAAGCTGAAAACGAGAATTCATGTGTTTACATTTACAATAACAACGTTTATTTTTAAATCGAAAATACATGTACATATTATTATTTAAATATCATAGAAATTACCTTTTGTTTGCTCCACTATTCGTACTCTCAATCTGAATGGGGATAATTCGCGTTTTGGGATGACTGTCTTGGCTGAAATTCCTGTTTAATGTTGGAAGTTCGTGTTGTGAAGATTCATCATCAAGTCTAACTAATTGCGGCGATAATACTCTCATGATGCGCTGCGTTGGCTGCGAGTAAGGAGCCTGTGCACGGGATTGAGCATCAGAATTTTGTTTCATGTCTATTACTATTCTTAACTGAGGTTGCTGACTTTCTCTCTGTCTATTTTGGTCTTTAGTCTCAGATGTTGATACTTCCATTTGAATAGGAATTATCCTAGTTCCTTCAGTGTTCATTGCATTATCTTTAGGTAAACTTTTACGATTTTCTGAAGGGCGTGTTGACCAATTTGGCTGTGCTGTCTGCTGATATTTTGGTGGACTTACAACTTCTCTTACACTTCTTTGCATTTCATTGCTCTTTTTTACCCACTCAGGTTCTTGATTTGATTCTCTGGGTGGCGTAACTAATTCCCTCGGTGTGCTTCTTCTACCTTCTAACGGTCTGTTACACCAGGAAGGAGGCGGTGTCTTAGTCTTTTCTTTTTGTGTCTTTACCCACGGTGGTATCGTTTTAGGGCTTTCAGGGCAGTAAAACACTGGTTCTTGGTTAACATATACAACTTCTTTTTGTTGTGAAGGGTTATTATATTCTGGTTGTGAGTTTTGTTTTCTTTGGTTTCCATGGATTGGGATGGAAATAGTGGACTGATATCGGGGCTGCTCTTGTGAATTTGTAGTTAGAGGTATTGTTTTATTTTGAGAGTTGTCCTGATTTCTCCAAGGAACGTTGGAGTTTTTAGCTATTCCATTATTACTATTAATATCTTGACCCATTACCCTTGATGGACTGTACGATTGTTGAGAATTTACTTTATTTTCTTGCTTCCAAGGCGCAATGTAGCTATTTTCAGTCCTGTTATTATTAGAATCACTTGATTTCCATGGAGGACTATAAGCTTGTTGTTGATTAGGATTTTGATTATTTACAATGATTTGCTGACTTTCTGCTCCTCTTGGGTTTCTGCTTAATGTTTGCGTTCGCCACGGTGGATAGTTTGACTGTTCAGTATTTGGACTCTGCTGTGCTTGTTGCTGTTGCATATTATTATTAACAGAGTCTAGATTTCTTTGACCAACTCTGGGTAAAGTATGGTAAATAGGTGGCGATTGATTAGAATAATTTGGTGAACCTTGTTGAGTGTTTGGTGAAAACGGTCCACGATTATTTTGCGGAGTTAGGGGACTGTTCGTTTTGGTAGCAGGGGATTCTCTCTTTTCGGGTTGTCTCCAATTATTATTAGGTGTTGGTGAATATGGTGATCCATTACTAAGAGGTGATTGCCCTGTAAACGGCTGAGGGCTTTTGTTGAATTGTGAGTCCTGTCTTACGAGCATTTCCCGAGTTTGTGGAGACCCATTGACAGTTGTAGAATTTGATTTTGGATGGCCATATTGAGCCTCAGGGCGATAAATTGGACTTTCAGGTGCTTGATTATTCTGGTTATTGTATGAGAAATTCCGCCTTTGTAGATTATTTTGATCTGGTGATGAATAAGTTTGATGGATCTGCTGCTGTGGTAGCTTTACTGTTAAAGGACTCGGAACTTTTTCTACAAATTTAGGAACTGGTCCCATTCGTTGCATTTCCGCTTTTTCAGCTTCCCAATGGTATGGACTATTTGTTTTTCGTAGCATACCTATAGGATTTTCTGGGATAACTATTTCAGGCCTTTCTCCTAAAGGTACTGGTTTTGTAGGTTTTGCATTTGGTGCTTCTATTATCAATGGAGGTGGTGGTGGTGGTAAAGGCATCTTAGGAGGTGGTGGAGCTGGAGGTGCCGGACCCCCTTGTGTATTGTAGTTGCCACCATTATTTAAACTATGTTGCTGCTGTGCGTAAGCTTTTTCTTGATCCTCTAATGAACGCTGTTTTGCTAGCCTCCTAGCCATACTAGGAGTGCGTATCTGAGACAAATCCAGACCACCAGGCGTGTAAGTAAAAGGCTTCTTATCCTTGGTCATCATTGCATTTTGAATGCATGCTGGTGGTTCGACACTACCCATAGGCTATAATGAAAAATATAGCAATTTAATATAAATATGTTAATAATTAAATTATGTAATAATAATAATTGTATTTATACTATCATCATCAACACAGTTTATAAAATGTCTTCTCAACATAGGGCTCCCCACAGATTATCTCATAAGGTGGATAATAATACAATAATAATAATTTTAAGTTGTTACTGCTGCATATCCCCAGCTTGCCTTTGTCGCCTCTTACATCCATGCGACGATATCAGGTTATGGGGTAGCATATTCTTTTACTTCTGAGCCTTGGTAGCTCAAATGGTTAGCGCTTGCTGTAAATTTCACAGTACGTGAGCAACCTGGGTACGATCCCCGCCGGCACCAATAAAATTGTTAATTGCAATTTTAGTGCTATTTTACCACGTGCTCGGTGGTGAAGGAAAACATCGTGAGGAAACCTGCCCGTCTGAGAAATAAGAAAAAACAATATTTGGAGGACATGTGAAGTTCGCAAACACGCATGGGAGCAGCGCAGCGGGAACCTTCTTTGCCCTAAAACCCTCTCAGAAATGAGTGGAGGCCTGCGCCTAACAGTGGGATGTATATAGGCTGTAACTTAACTAGATACTTTTACGCTTCAATTATACGGCATTTGTTACATTTGAAAGAAGTTTATGAGATAATTTGAGAATAATTAATCACCTGCACGCGGTGAACTTTGCTGATTGACGGACGAGGTTCTGGTGACTAAACGATGGGTGGGGAAAATCCATTCAATAACGCTGTGTCCAAGTGATCACAATGTGTTCATTTGAATTCTGTTCAACATACTGATAACGAGGACTTTGACTGCCTCGTTGGTCTAGTGGTTATAAATGAGACTGTTGATCATGAAGTCCCGGTTTTGAATCCCGGGTCGGGCCAAAAAAATCAGTTATTATGTTTTTCTCTCCCGAAATTCTCAAAGGCTTCCCGAAATCAGGAAGTTGGTGGTGTCTCACCCCCGTGCCTCGGAAAGCACGTAAAGCTGTTGGTCCTGCACCTGATCTCTACCCGATCGTGTCGGTTTACCGTCCCATCGGACTATGAGAGTGAGGGAATAGAGAGTGCACCTTTACTTGCGCGTACACTTGGGCATTATGGTTTTGTCCCGCGCAGGACAGGATAGATTTCATTAAAGCTGGTCGCCGTGACCGAAATTCGGTCTAGAGGACATTTGTGAAGTACAGCATTAGCAGTGCGAGGGTATCGGTTCGACGCTCACTAACTCACTTGTCCAGCGTGATTAATTTGTGAAGAGTGCACGCCTTGCAATACATAATGCAGTGTTGGTACCGACTTGGTTATATGGCAGCGAAACCTGGGTATGCCAGAAGAAGCATAAAAGCAAGTTGAATGCAGTGGAGATGCGATCTCTTCGTAAAATGTGTGGCATTACCTTAGCCGACCGAAAGTGAAACGAAGAGATTCGCAATATGGCAGCATTGAAAGATGACCTTATCACAAAAATTGATAGGGGCGTACTCCAATGGTTTGGGCACGTTGAACGAATGAGTGAAGACCGAATGGTGAAGAAAATATATAGAGCGAAAGTAAATATTAAAAGGTGTAGAGGTAGACCGAGACTAACTTTCGAAGACCATGTGGGTAAATTGCTCGAAGAGGGGAGGGTCAAAAGTACTCGGATACCTAGACGTGCATGTATGAAGAAGTTAATGAACCTGAAAGAAGCGAAAGAGGTATGTAAGGATCGTGACACTTGGCGATCTGTTCTCTCTGGCTACCCCGTTAGGGATTGTGCGTGAAGATAAGTAAGTAAGTAAGATTAATTTGGCAAATCTTATAATCTTGTTGTAGCTAGGAACTTATATTTTTTTAATTTCTGCTTATGTTTTGACATATTAAAAGATATACCAAGCGTAAAATGAAGCACAAAGATAAGCACAAAAATGAATTGAACGTTCACGATGTTGCGCGATGATAATATCGTATGACAACAATGTAGTATCACAGACAAAATGATACTGTACATTGAGACGTAAAAACTAATCATCTCTCTAAATTATCTCTTCATATATGAGAAATAAAAAAATATTTCGAAGAAACTTTCTTGCCCTAAAAACCCTTTCAGAATTGAGAGAGAGGAGGCCTGTGCCCAGCAGTGGGTACGTATATAAGCTGTATGACTTAACTTTTTACAACTGCTGTAATATTGTCTATAGAAACGATTACGATGTTACTGTCCTCACATTTTCAAATAAATTAACGAACCATCTTTCATTTTATACTTACATTGACTTGTGTTTTGCCGAAGTTAGGGATTCTGCCAATATGTCCAGTGACATGCGAGGGTCCGTATCTGGAAAGCAGCCAATTATAGTGTTATTTTTACTCAAGATGACGAATTAAATAGCACAGGTTATATGTTTTCAAAGTATTTCTATTTTAGATTTATTTTTAATAGTTTAGGCGTATTTTTAATTTATTTATATAATAAAGCATTTTGAAAATTACTAAACAAGACATACTGACAAATTCTTACCCATTTTGTGTCATGTTTGAAGACTGAGGGACTGCAGAATTGTTTTAGAAGTCTTTTCACACCTAAGCCAACTCGTACGCGCTTGCAACTGCAAAATTAGATGATTCCTACAATTATCGATTATGAACAGATGTTTTACGTGAATCTAACATCACGTTAAATCCTGGTCAAGGTCACATATCTTTAGATGATTTGATTTCATTAACATTGGCTTCTCAGCATTTCTGAATTTGATTTACAGGAAAACATATAGGTGCTTGTTGATACAAAGGAAATCTTGAAACCAAAACAATCGAAAAATTATTATAATTTGGAACCAGTAAAATCAAATTCACTTATTTCGTTAATTTGTATTTATTTTAAGTAATATTCGTTCTTTTCAGTATTCCGGCATCTAGTAATGCTCATAATAATCTTGGCTTAATATTGACGCCGGACATGGTATGTAGTGAAAGAAATTTGGCACTCCTACGATAATAATAGTTGATGGCTAGACGCCAGGTTTAATTTTAACACCTAACTGCGACTGCTCACTTCAAATATTTTCCTTTTTTTTGTAAGAGCTGAATTGTTTTTAAAACAATCTAATGAACTTTTGCTTCAATATATCAATAATTGTGGTATGTCTAAACTTAAATGCTAATATGTAATTTTCCATCAAGAGGGGGGTTGATAAGCGCAATATATATATAAGAAAAAATATTTCGAAGACGTGAAGTTCGCCAACACGCATTGGGGCACGTGGGGAACTTCCTTGCCCTAACCCTCTCAAAATGAGGCAGTGACGTATATAGGTTGTATATAAAAAATATATATATAATGAAACATAACCACTTCATAGGGGTAGGCTAGAGTTCTAATTGACACGATAGTGATACACCGCTCCCGCTCCCTCTCGGTTTCCCTCTTGCTTCTTACAAATACATGGTCATCGGTTAAGGGCACTGTTAATTTGGCCTATCAATATATATATATATATATATATATATATATATATATATATATATATATATATATCGCTAATTAAGTCGATAAGCTGGAAAGCAAGGGCGTCCCTTGCCGACTTTGCCACACATTTCTGCAGCATCAATTTTGTCACTATATCTCATTTATTCTTTCTACGTGTCTAAAACGCCGAAACATTCCTTTCTTAATTTCTAAAAAGTTACTATTCCTGGTATTTTTTCGTATTGGTTCGTTTTTCACCATCAGCATTGCGAGTCCAGAATCAGAGTGCCATTCTGTAAATCCAAAACTAAAGTGTATAAAGCTGCCACCCACTAAATGGAGTGACGTCCAAATAAAACATTTAGATAGTTGATGAATGCAGAAGGCTGGAAACTTGATGGTAGAACTTATGTCTCTCCCATAAATCGTCTCATACGGGGGATAAATGGCATAATTGCCAGGCTTGGTGGACGAAAGGGTAAACGCGCTTACAATTAAGTTGTTATTAGTATTATTAAGATGTATTATATTGTTATTAAGTTGTTATAACTATTATTAGGGGTGCTCTCTTGATAGTGGCGTCTCTTTTAATGCTACTGTACGACATTTACAAAATAACACTTCAGATTGCTAAGATTATGTTTAAACAAAAAATAAAACAATATTTTCCCTTACATACTTTGCGTGCAGCAGAACTAGATATAGAAACTTTTTTATGCAATATAGATTATAAATAATATGTATTGAAAGCCAATCTTTTGTTTAATTTACCACTGGTTCAGAAAAAAAAACCTCTCTCCTGGGAAGAACCAGCAAGAAACCTACCGGGACTTTCTTTAAAAAAAGAATAACAGCTTAGAATCTTATATGTTACACAATTAACAACACAAAACGAATTAGAAACAGCTTGGTAGCGATCATCTCATTCCCAGGGGTTATTATCATCCATAAATTCAGCAACATTGTAAATTACATATTCTGATGTATTCAGCTGATACTGTAGCTAACAATATGATTTCTACATCATTAGTTATTACTGTACTCGTCTACATCCTATTTGCTGTTATTTCATTCAAATCAACTTTTCACTAAAATTATGACAGTTATTTCCGATAAGCCCTTAATATTGTCTTAGATGATAGAAAATATATCTTTTTATTTTTATAGATTAATACTTTTGGCCAGAGTAAAAGTTACTTTTTTGGTGAACATGGTTCGAGAAGCTCCCTGAACTCTTTGAACTCTACCTTCCTCCTCGGGGATAACGGGGCCGTGACACTATGTATGATGTACGCTATCATTTTTCACATCATTTTTAAGATGAGAGAATGACATTTTATCTTCTCTCCTATATAAAAATCAAATTTTAGCTAAAACTCGAAAATGACTCGACCGATTTTGACAAATTTTTTTACGTGTATTTGAGTGGGACCCTGGATGGTTTAAAAACTCAGTTGGACCCGGTAGGTGACGTTATTGTCGAGATCCAGAAGTCACCCGTCCAAAGCCGGAGCGTGTTCGCCAGTAATCAATAATTATTGACTGACATAATGTAAACAAGCTGCGCAATCTGACACGTTTATAGGGAATCTATTGTTAGAGCAAGGACGGCAAATTGGGGCACGGTCTGCGCGTGCGCCAACAGGTGAACCGCTTGGAATGCGTAATGGACAGCGGCTAAAAATGTTTTGAAAGGCAAATTGTCTTTTGAAAAAGAAGATTAATGAGAACTTTAAATTTACTTTCAAATGTTATCATTACTGTATGTTTTTACTGTAAGTTACGGGTATCGTAACATTCTACGACCTAAATATTGGTGGCGAGACAATTTTGACGATTCTGTATAAAAATAAAAAAATTGCAATACAGAAAATAATTAAAACGACTTTTGCTTTGAAGAAATGCGTTCATTCATCCCACATATACTTACTTATATTATTGTATTGACTATTATTTATATAATATCCTTCTTTACTTATTGCAAAGAGTCTTATATCTATGTAAATGTACATTAATCAGATAGACGCCTAAAGGATGACGTTTAACAAGATGAGTGTAGCTGAAGATCGGGCTACGTGGCGTGCATTGGGAGGGACATAAGTCCAGCAGTGAACTGTCGCAGGCTGATGATGATGATTATGAACAGACTGCTGTATGAAAAAAATGTCCAATGGCAGAAAGTGGAAGGAGGAATTAAATCATGTAATTGCTGCGCACGTTTTATCAGACTGTAGCAATTCAATTTACTGCTGAACGTGGGCCCCTCCCATAATAGTAATAATTTGCTATAATCACCACGATTAGTTCAGTCAGATCCTCTATGGGATCATATAATTTCACTTTTACAATGTTGAAATTTTAGAAATAACGGTTAAATTTCAAAATTTTATAAAAATCTTCAAGGTTTAAAAATAGAAGCACTGCACCTTGAATCCCAGGTGCGAGCTGTTATCGACTCAACCGTCTGTGATAATAAATGTACGTGTTACGATGCCAAGAATCCGACCTTTTGTACTAAAAGCGAAATGGACGAACATTATTCATATTTCTGAAATATACGAGTAAACACAAGTTTGAGTACCTAGTAATAAAATATATTACAAGCAAAACTCTCGCTCTAACTGTATCCCTCTCTTGTTCCAGCGTCTTAGTAATAGTAAAGTCCCTTATTAAATCATCATACAACTTTTTAAATCCTCTACATTATACCTAACTTAGTCAGTTGTAGCAGTCTGTGCGATCTAGAATTTTGGAATGAATTTTCTGTCATTGCTTTCCCCTTATATTATAATAAATACATAATTATTTTTCTTCATCAAACTGCAAAAGGCTTAAAACTATAAAAAATTGCTTTAATCACCACGCTCGGCAGGCAGGTTCGCAATCACAGTATTCAAAGATCTCGCACTTTTGACGCTGCGGTCACACAGTTAAACAACATACGAGTAGATTCAAAGAAAGGAATATGCAATCACCTTTTTTTCTGAGGATTATTTTACTGTATGGTTAGTTTAACCTACTGAATTCTATTTACGTACTATATAGTTTAGTTTTCTTCCGCGTACGACCTCTCTGTGGAATGGCGGATTGGCGAATTTACCACCGGCGATTTTTCCGGACCGATACGACCTGGGGATCTCCAAAAAAAGAGCTTACTCCTTTCTAAAGGGCCGACAACGCACCTGCAATTCCCCTGGTGTTGCGGTTGATCATGGGCGGCGGTAGTCACTTAACATCTGGTGAACAGTATGCTCGTTTGCCCCCCTCTTCTATAAAAAAAATTATACCCACTCGCTTTGCTGGGCGCACGATAACATTTTAAACTTAGATGTAAAATATCAGATTTTTTTGGTAACTATACTAATTTTCAAATCAATTGGTTGTATATTTTTAGAAATCTCGTGATGAGTCCGTCAGTCAGTGGTAGGTATTTCGCTTATACCATCATCATCATTACAGCCCTTCACAAGTCCACTGCTAAACGTAAGCCTCCTCCACGAAATGGCACAAAGCACGATCCTGAACCATCTGCAACTACCGACGTCCCGCATGTCTTGCTAAGTCGTCACTCCGTCTTGTGGGGGGACGCCCTACACTTCACCTGCCGGTACGATACTGCCACTGATGAACCTTTCTTCCCCATCCGTTACCAGTTATTTGAGCTATATGGCCGGCCCATTGGCACTTCAGCTTACTAATCCGTTGGGCTATGCTGGTCACCATCGTCCGGGAGGCTGGATGCCATCGAGTCTGCATCCGAGACGATTCGTAATGACTTTCGAAAACAGCACGTAGACGCGACTCAGAAGGAAAATCGGTCTGTAGAAAGCATTGTCACCTTTCTTGAAGAACAAGACCATCGCACTTCTGCTCCACGTCTCAGGAGTAGTGCCATCGTGGAGGACGGAATTTCAAAGCTTCTAAAGGACTTTGAGTATCAGTTTTCCACCCACTTTCGGAAGCTCCGCTGTAATTCTATCCTCGCCCGGGGACTTGCCGTTTTTAAGGTACTGGAGAGCCATTCTAATCTCGCTCAGACTGACATCCGAGATGTCATCGGAATAGT